AATCCCTTTTAAGCCTATTAATAATCTTAAGAAAATAATATTAAGTTTTTTTATATTCTTTTTTCTTTTTTTTAACATTTAATTTTATTAAGGCTAGGCTTTTTAAATCTTTTAATAATATTAATAATAAAAGTAATTTCTTTTAAGGTTAAAACTTAATAATTAAGATATTAAATCCTATATATATTAACTAAACTTTAATTAAGTAAATATATATATAATTTATATAGCTATATATATAATAATTAGCTTCCTTTTTATACCCCTTAACCTAATTTATATCATAAGCTAATTAATTAACCTTTATAGCTATTTAATAAAGATTAAAATTAAGAAATAAAGCTTAAACTAAGTAATATATAATTAGTTAATTAACCCTTAATCTTCTTTTTATTTATATTACTAACCTCTTTTATAGTTATTATAATAAGTATATAAATAGTAAATATTTATTATAATATAAAGCTTACTTTAATCTATAAAAATATTAAAAAAGTAATTAATAATTACTATAATAAATAGGTATTTAACTTACTTAAAGATAAGATTAGAAATCTTTAATTAAATTTAAAGTAAGATTTTAACAATTACTTTATAGTACCTTTTTATAATAAGTAAGATAATTATAATTTAATTAACCCTATTAATAATATTATTAATAATATTATATATTATATTATAGAAATAAGTATAGTAAGATTTTAATAAGGGTTATATAATTTAATTTAATTCCTCGGCCTAAAGCTACCTTTAACTTTAGGCTACCTTAACTTTAACTTTAACTTTATAGCCCCTTAATGCCTTATATATAACTTTTATTAGTATCCTTAATAGTTATATACTTTTAGTCTTAGGCTAAGACTAGAATAGTCTTTTTATTTTATATCTTTACTGGCCTTAATTATCTATTTAACTTACTTTTTTAAGTAATTATATTAAACTATATAATTAAGCTTTAATTTAAATACTTTAATAAAAAAGGTTTTAATTTTAAAAACTAACCTTTTTAAAAGCCTTTTTTCTAACCTTTTTAGGTTTTTAAGTTAATTCTTTATATACCTTAAACTTAATATATATATTTAATAAGATTTTTAACTTAACTATATATAAAAAAGTATTAAAAATTTATAATTAAAGGTAATTAATATATTTAAATTATAATTATTTTATTTACTATAAAAAGGTATTAATTAATTTTAAAAATCCTACTTTATTTTAATCTTAAGGTCTTTAACTATATAAATAAATTATTTATATTTTTCCTTACTATAGTTATTAATTACCTTATAGATCTTATTATAGGTTAGGCTTAAATTTATATTATAATATATATTTATTATATAAATAGTAATACTTATTATAATAACTATAAAAAAGGTTAGTAATATAAACTAAAGGGAGACTAAAAGTTAATTAACTAACTATATATAACTTAATTTAAGTTTTATTTTTTAATTATAACCTTTATTAAATAGCTATAAGGGTTAATGAACTAGCTTATAGTATAGATTAGTTTTAAAGGTATAAAAAGGAAGCTGGTTTTTATATATATATTTATATAAATTATATAAATATTTATTTAATTAAAGTTTAATTATTATATATAATATTTATTATCTTAATTATTAAGTTTTAACCTTAAAAGAGGTTATTTTTATTATTAATATTATTAAGAGTTTTAAAAAGCCTAGACTTAATAAAATTAAATATTAAAATAAAAAGAAAAAAGAATTAATTAAATTAATTACCTTTAATTATAAACTTTTAATACTTTATAATTTAAGGCTTAATAAAAGAAATTATAATTAAATATCTATATTAACTTAAATATAAAAAGTAAAAAGATTAACTTAAATACTTAAAAAGCCTAGAAAATAGACTTATAAAAAGGCTAGCCTTAAGATTAATAGCTTTTTTATTAAGGTATTTAAGTTAAAACCTTATAATATAGCTTAATATAATAACTTAAAAAAATAGGTTATAAAGATAATTAAAGTCTTTAAGAATAATCTATAAAGAGAAATTATATATAAGGTATTAAAAGGGGTAGATATAAAAGTAAAAGGTTAAAATATATTACTTAGAGGAATATATATTTTATTAGTTAGAGTTAAAGTTAAAGTTAAGGCAGCCTAAAATTAAAGGTAGTTTTAAATTACGAAATTAAATTAGATTATATAACCCTTATTAAATTCCTACTTTACTTACCTTTATAGTATAATATATATTTATTTATATTAAGTATAGTATTACCTTTAAAAAAAAGATCTAACTATCCTAATTAAATCTATAAAAGTATTAATAATAAAGGTCTTTATATAGATTAAAAAGTAATAATATCTTAAATTTAATAAAGTTACTTATTATATTAATTATAACTTTATTTCTTAATAATATAAAAACGCCTATTAAAATTACTTTTCCCTTTCTATATTTTACTTTAAATAACCTACCTAAGCTTATAAAATAAAGATTATAACTAGGTAATTACTAAGTAATTTATTAAGTCTATAAGTTAATTAGACTATTTTATAATTAAATTAATAAAGTTAACCTTAATTATAGTTAAGATATTAATTAATACTTTAACTTTTATATCTTTTTATAATAACCTTTAGCTAGTTAATAATAATATTATAATTAAGGTATATAAAAAGGAATTTTAATATAATTAAAAGGTATTTATTAAAATAATAAATAATAATCCTAAGGCCTATAATAAACTATAAAACTTTCTTAATAAGATTAAATAGTAATATATTATTAAGGTAGGTATAAAGCCTATAAATTAAAAGGTTAAGGTTATACTTATTATCTTTAGTTACAAGGTCCTTTAATTATATACTTTATTTATTATTAATAGTAATTATTTATATAAAAAGGTATAGATTAAAATAAAGATATTACTTTTTAATCATTTTAAAAAGAAGTTTAAATTATATAATATAATTAAGCCTTTAATAATAAAAAAGACTACTTTCTTTAATATATTAAATAAGAATAATATAAATTTAATAAAAGGTAGGTATAAAAAATAATTAATAGACTTAATTATAATAATAAATTTAGTTAGGGACTTTAATTTAAGATTATAAAAAGACTATTAAAGTTAGAGTTATAAGAAGGAAATTTATATATATAAGATAGAGCTTTTTACCGAAGGTTAAAAAGTCTTTCGGTTTAAAAAAAGAAACTACTATAATTAATTAACTAAGATTATATAACCTAATAGACCTTCCCTATAATAACTAGACAAGATAAGTAAGGTAATTAATAGTAATTTAATAGTAATATAATTAAAATAACATATACTATTATTAATAATATTATTAATTAGGGCTAATTATATTATATAATTTAAGGTTTTTTTTTAAAATAATTAAAAAATATTATTTCTTTTTAAGCTATATATTCTTATAGTTATAATTATTATTATAAATAAAAAGGCCAGGTACTTAAAATTTTATATAGTTAGAAATATTAAGTATAATCTTAGCTTTTTAATTTATAGGCTTTATACCTATCTTAATTATATATTATTAATTAATATTATTAAATAGGCCTTTTAACTTTTTATAAATATTAAAATTCTTAATTATTACTTTAAGAAATATCTTTTAATTATATTAAAATTCCCCTTTATATACCCTTATTATATTACTATTATTAACTAGTTATAGGCCTTTATTAAAAGGTATAAAGGTAGGTATATTAATTAATATATTAATTATAATTAAAATTAGCTTTATTAATCTAATTTAACTAGGTTAACTTATAGACTTAATAAATTACTTAATAATTATAATCCTTATTTTATCTTAGGTAGGCTAATTAAAGTTAAGTATAAAAAAAGAAAAGTAACCTTAGTAAGAGTTTTTATATTATTAAGAAATAAAATTATAATTAATATAATAGATAACCTTATTAAATTTAAAATATTATTACTTTTTAGTCTATATAGAGATCTTTATTATTAATATTTTTATAGGTTAAATTAGGATAGTTAGATATCTTTTTTAAAGATATTACTAGACTTAATATAAATATAATCCTTTAATTACCTAGCCTCTTTATTTATAATAATAATTATAATAATAAGAATATATAACTTAAAAAAAAGATATTACCTTTTAATTATTTTAAAAGGAAGCTTAAGTTATTAAGCCTAATTAATATATTAATAATAATAAAAACTACCTTTTTTAATATATTAAATAATAATAATATAAATTTTATAAAAAGTAGGTATTATAAATAATTAATAGACTTAATATTATTAATATATTTAATTAGGTATTTTAAATAATAAACTATACCGAATTTTAATTAAAATAGCTAAGGAATTATAAAAAGACTATTAAAGTTAAAGTTATAGAAAGAAAACTTATATATATAAAATAGAGTTTTTTACTAAAGGTTAAAAAGTCCTTTAGTCTAAGAGAAGAAATTACTAGAATTAATTCACTAAAATTATATAACTTAATAGACCTTCCCTATAGTAACTAGATAAGATATATAAAGTAACTAATAGTAGTTTAGCAGTAATACAACCGAGGTACCTATATACTATAGTGCTATTATTAATATATAGGTATGGGGTTAAGGGGTGTATATAGTAGTGGTGAAATACATTACTGGAAACCACTGTTTTGACTTAGCGGGTTTAGTAAGAGGTACTTCAAGATTGAATTTTCTGTCCCCTAAAGGATAACGTGCTGGTACCTATGCCCCACCTTATCCTAACAAGTACATCAAGTTCGCAGTCTATCACCTCCGGGGAAGCGGATGGGAGTGGAGTGACAATTTTATAACGTGGTTGGGATTTCCAGGTGGTCCTTTTCTTATCCTGTAACTATATCTCCCTTATTGTCACCTTTGTCCTTGTCGCTCCTCACTGGCCTGTCCGAACACTCATACCATAATATCTGCCCACTTACGCAGCACTTTATAGCAGCTTGAGAAGCGACGTCAGACCGCTTAAAGGCAACCCGCGTGTCAAAATGAAGCGCAGTCATTACGCTTGCGACCAGTGCCGGAGGTCGAAGCGAGCTTGCGATGCACCACCTCTCCTTGGTCCCGGAGCTTCGAGACGCCGCCCCATAACAACCGGCGAACCGCTTGGTAAGTCTAAAGGTGTACTTGAGCCGGTCCCCTAATCTTACTAGGTCAGTAGCTAACAACTACTGGAGGGCCAGCGTCTGAGAGGGACCACGAGGCCTGTTCTTATTGTACCAAGACAAAGAAAACATGCACCATGAATTGGGCTTGGGCACAATTGCAGCCTGCCTCCCCATCAAGTAATGCTAACTCCGCGGTATATTCGTATAAGACAGATCGTGATCTCAATACTGCGACCAAGAGGCAAAGACCAGATCCGCTGGCGCCACATTTAACCACGGACTTCATGTCCTCGCCCACGCGTATCCATGGCACAGAACAACCTGTTCAAGATCCAAATCGTCTTAAACAAAAGCCACGATTACCCAGTCTTTATACAGTCACTCATTCCTCAACCGCAACGGTTACTTCGAGCCACTCAGCAGGTCCAGGCCTTGAAATTTCGCAGACACAAAGTAATGCAAGACGTTCAAGCAGCTCGACCAACTTACCTGATCACTACTTATCATCTCATTTACCACCTAACGAGTCGCCAATGTCGATTCAGTCTCAAGTCAACCACTGGTCTACTCTCCAGCAGTCAGTTACCAAAGACTCCCATAGCCAAGGATCTATATCACGATCTACGATTGGCAATACTGATGACGAAGACAAAGCAATCAGAGCAAAGCGTCGTCGTACTTCATCAACATGGAGTGATCGCCGCCAACCCTCTTTATCTTCCTTCTCTGTTGACCAGACTATGATGACCAGATCCAACAACGAGTATATATCTACAAATCTTTTGCAAATCTATCATGACGTACTTGAGCACAATCTTTCTTGCTGGCTTACGGAAGTTACCTGCCCCTATAGGGCACCTGGCTATGTGACAGGTGGTATACATGCTCCAACAGAATGGGGATCATCATGGTCAAATCGCATATACCGTCGTACCATCAACCTTGATCACGCAATCCAGACCGCAAAACTTACAAAGCTTACCCGTGCTGAGGATCAAGCTGCAGCTAAAGCCTTCCAGCTTTCAATAATGGCATTTGCCACTCAATGGGCTCAAGGCAGTCGTCGTCAGCAGCAGCGTTATTCTGGCGATGATAATGGGGTACCAGATGATATACTTAATGATGTCACGGAGGAGTTCGACCGCAACATTCAGCGAAACATCTGGGAGCAAGCTAAAAGGGCTCTTCAAGAAGTTGCCGATGTGGAATCATATCGTGTGGCCACTGCAGAGCTGATATTTGGTTTGACGCAGAAGCCTTGGACTCGTGACGATGAACCTATGAGAACGAAGAGTAACCCCAATACACTGACCAATGCTCAAGCGAGAGTTGATATGACAGCCCTAAATTCTGAGCTAGGGGATATCATTTCACGAGATGGCCTGCCAGTCTTCATAAGAGAGAGCTGCCCGCAAAATGCACGCTCTGAAATTCCGGTTCGACTCTGGGCGACGCGGTGTGACTGGATCTCTTACCCGGCAAAAGAATAACGATTCGCTCTCAATGATGAATCCCGAAGATCGTGGAACTGTTGGGCTCCTGTACTGGCTTGCCGTCATGCTTGATACTGTTTCGTCGTCTATGAGCGAACGTCCAGTTGTGGTAGCCGACGCAGACAGTCAACATGACGACGCAGATGAGGACCTTGACGCAACGACGAACGGACGATGGAATGTCCCACTGTTCATCCAAGATAGCCTGGAACAGCCGCATATGTATCATACGATACACTGGCCTTGCTCATACGAATCCGCTGCTGAGGCTGTTACCAAGTCAGCACCCGTCAAGGTCCTACTCTTCCGACACATTTCATATCTTCAGAACATTTTGAGGAGGGGTGGCCGAGGAGTCAAAGTTGAAGAAACTATCAAAACTACTACCTCGCTGTATCGGTATTGGAACATGACACACGGAGCTTTCTTTAAAGAACTGCTATATGACTACGAAACAGTTCCTGGCCGTCTTCAGAGCTGGTTCGTTTGTATTTCTGGCCATTGGAATCTTGGTGCTCTCAATGCTCGCCGACCTTATCGAATACGTGGACGAGAATGAGCTAGGAGAACCAACAGCATCCCATGGCCGAGTGTCCAGCAAGATGGTTACAAGAATACGGGAATCGAGTGCGCGAGAGTTGTCTGACTTGGCCAAGGTATCGACCCCTGCTCAGAACCTAGGCAGCATGACTGCACCGCAAATGACACATTTTCACCATGCTGTGAACGAGGCAACAATTCTTACAGAGCCCTGGACCATTTTACTCATCAGGGCCTTCGCTAAGGCCGCCATGATACTTATTAATGAAGCTAAAGATCTCCTGGAATATGGTATGACTGCACCGGGAAATACTGGTCATGACTTTCAAGAGAGTATGCGTCGTGCACAGGAATGCGTTAAAGGACTTTGGATATTGGGCAAAAAGTCTGATATGGCAAGGAGGTCGGCAGATACGTTAGTTGCAGCGATGAAGAAGTTGAAAGTTTAGCCAAGTCGGTTGGATTTGAAATTGTACCTAAATGCTCTTAGGAAAACATTCGTCTAAAATGCCATACTCTTTCTCGTCTGGTCCTGGCAAATTGTCTATATTATCAGCATGAAATTTCATATGAAGTCGAGGCAGAGAAGCAGGTACTGGATTGTGGCACATCCGATATTGATATTTCTACAGGGGCGTCATGCCTGTTTTACCAAGAAAACTTGCAGAACACAAGAAAAGGCCAAATCGAGAGCCTTGAATTGCAAGTTGTGCCCGTGGGGGCCATGGGTAAGATTTGTTGTGTTTCTAGCACATGGCTCATCTCAGAGTTCCGACGACCATACTAATTATCAGACGTTATGCAGTATCATTTTCAAACAGATATAGGGTCGAAGATGGTCATATACACGCCGAGATATCTCTAGAGGAAACGTGCCAGATGTAGCTTGGTGCAGAAGATCATACCTTTTGATGATATGCTAATAATTCTCTCGTGCACATCGAGAGTCTATTTCACGAGTCTGGGATGCGAGAAACTATGAAGAAGCTCTGTTGTATGTATCAGAGTCTGTCTCAACTCTGTTCCAAGAAGCAACTTGTTAGGTTGTTTCGTCATTGGAATCCACGATACCGTTGTTTTTGCATCGATGAGCAAACAAATATAGCCTTGAGCATTTGGAGTCCCCAATCCATCGAATCAAGTGGATGTACATGTTATTAAGCGGTTACATCTTCATATGTTCTGCTGGCTTACTGAACATGGCGTAAGAGAGTTACTGAGGGTTCAGGTTGTTGAGAAGTTACCCACCGATCTCGTGCCTCGATCGTGCATCAATCGTTTGACTCAAAGCCCCTGGTCTTCAGAGCAAGACTTCTTAGACGGCTTTGAGAGTGCCATAGATTTCTTAGAGATACATTAGAAGAAATCAAAGACTCAAAGCATCAGTCTAGAAACAGGATCAACAACCAGATACTGAATGAGTCGGCTTCCAGAAGCCTACCTCGACATTCACTCATGGCTATCCGTTGCTCAGAATTTATGAAGGAAGCGGCTACAAATGCTTCCTGAGACCATCTTCTCCCGTAACCAACTGGAAATAGCCAGTATGAAGACGAGCCATACCATTATACGAGGCTTGACCACTGGGCTGTTTGGAGCAGTGCGAAATAGATTTGGGTACGCATATGATCATCACGTATACTTTCCAGCAATGCACCACTCTCCATCCAGTCCTTTCATACCAATGCGGGAAAACATCATACCCCAGTGCCGAACCAAGCGAGGATGTGAAGCAGTCTAAGAAGTTGGCACCTTTATTCTACCTTGACTTTTCACTGAATAAATCAGCTCTCGGAAAACCGCTTACAATCCTTGCGCGTGATGAACATTGGTTGAGCATTGGACCTCGAATCTCTAGAGACCACAACACTAGAAAAATAAGCATTAGATCAAGATAGCAAGCTAACTTGGAAAAATAAAACTTTTGCGCATGATAAATACAAGAAATGTTACCTGCTTGTAGAAGGATAAGGAAACTCGATGTTCTGATTGGGTGAAGGGCTTCTCTCAGTCACCAAAACGATATTGGTGTAGTGAGCATGTAAGAAAAGCAAGGAATAACTGCTATTTTTATACCTAGCCAGTCGTGTCACAAAGCTCGTTCTGTTCTGTCCACCTGACTACATGGTAGCGAGTATGCGAGTGAAACCAGAATGACCAGCTGGGTACAGAATACTTATTGAGGATCAAGGTACAAGTTCCTTGGGTGCATAAAAGGTTATGGAGGGAGAATCAGAAACTGTCTCAGGCAAGGGTTCAGCTGGACAGAATGTCTCAAATTCTCTTTGATTGATCGGCCAAGGCTCCCTCCTCCTCGCAAGACCAAAGTCAAGACCAAGACCAAGACCATATTTGCTTTTTCCATCATCGATCAGTCAACAACACATCCTTGTGGTAAATCTTGCAGGCGTCTCAGATCCTGCACTCGGTGAATCACTACAACTGACACGTCTAGCCTGCTTCGACGACTATCAACAGGGTACGACGCCTGGACGCCCCCTCGGCCGAATGTTTGGTGCCTGGTCACTATTCCAGTGCAGATCTCTTGCCCTCATTCTTCTCCAGTTATGCTCTTTCGATCCTCGCAATAGTGTACCTCGTGAATCCGTATCCACGGCACTGGCTGAGTGACAGGTGAGACACGGGCGACCATCATATTGACAAGTGACAAGTGACAAGTGTCAAGTGTCAAAGGGGGTGGGCAATGGTCCCGACATTCAGGTCGTCAACTGAGACCGCGTGAACTGGAACTGGGTGTGGGACTTTCGCGTCCCGGGTCTCCCTTTTGCCGTCAAGATTAGCCTCATGTTTCCTTATTTTTGCGCAAAGAAGCCTCATAGTCTTCGTCATGGGCAGTTATGGACTTCCAAGCCAAGACAAGTGTCGGTGCTTTTGACTCGGTGACTACGAGAGGAGAGCCAAGAAAAGAA